CGTTAGGAGGCATCTCCAGTCGACGACGTACTTTAGGAATCAGGACAGCATCAGTTCAATATAATTACTGCTGTAACTCTGGGATGGTATTAGTGGGTCAACAAAGAAACGAAAACAAGAAAAATACGAATATTTAACAATCATAATTAGTGCGCTAGAGTGTAAGTACATCAAGATTATACGTTAAATTGATTTATGGATGTGTATTTTGTTTCTAATAACTTTTTTTAGATAAAAACATCTTACAAATTACTTTCAACTACCTACAATCTTTTGCAAACAAATGCAATAACAGTCAACCCCCCCTCAATCTACCACACTAAATGTGCTGTTGTAATATTATTTGCGATATTGATTTCATTTTTTGTTACTGCTCTACCATGTTCTTATTCAAATTTCAGGGTTCATTACCATGATGCGGAATAATATCGAGATTGAAATGGATTCATTTGGTATTTTAATTACAGATAGATCATATTTGTATTAGTAACATTAGGTTGTAATTATTTTCACTTTATGTTGTTGTGTCAATCATACGTCTAAAATAGTTGTCTTACATAATATCATTATTTTATATAATATATTCGTAAAAATGTGCATGAATAATTATTACGTTCTAGTTTTAACTAGTTCATAGTATGTTTATTTTATTCTATTTAGTAATAATTAAAAATTAAATTTTCCATTCAAAAATTTACTGTTTGTCTTCTATTTTTAGTAGTTGTTAAGTTGTGCTTATCCCAACGCTTAAAAAATACTTTTTTTTTCATTGGCTTGTGGCCATACTGTTTAACTATAGGAGGTTTACATAAAATTGTTAAAATATGGTACTTTAAGTATGTTACATCACTACTTCCCGAATAAAAATTACAATCATTTGCTGATAAGCTTTAGCGCTTCTGAAGACGCGCCCTGATTGAGTTTATTTTCTAATCCAAACTGCATAACAACTACATATAATACATACCTATGTTGCATTATGAAACACGAAATAAGTTTTCGATTTGAATTTCATTTTGTTTTGGTGCAGAGCTTATGTGGTGACCAAAAAATAGCGGCATTCCAAAACTTTAAATCTATTCTACATATTAAGCACAAAAAGTTAAATTTCGTCGGTTTTATGTGATTTCGTTATGTCTTCCGAGGTAAAAATTCCTCTTTGTAAAGGTAGAAATGTATCTTTTGTCGAATAGCTTTAAGAGAAACTTATAAATAGATCTCACGGGCAGGCATATGTGTTGAAGCTAATCTAAAATTCAACATTTTGTAATAAGGGTAAGTAAACAAGAAAACTAACCAACTAAACCTTTAACCGATTGTCATATTAGTACACTGATTTGGTTCGAAAGATAGAGGTTACCTCGAAAGTTTTCCGGGAGTTTTGAAAATCGGTAATTTTATAGATTTTGATGTGCTCTTTCCGAATTTCAACTTTGCACCTCGTATTTTCGTCGCTGGCGCCGCCATTTTGGAAAATGGCGTCTAAAAGCAGTGTTTTGACAATATCTCCTTTCCGACTTATTTTACGATAAAAACAGTTATATACAAAATGGAACTAGAGACAATTACCTGCAATTTATGTATCAACCTTTTTTTTCATAAAATCAATAGCGTACGAGCGTCGCAAAGAGTACTTCAACACTCATTTTGACCAAAAACTTTTGCACACCACCTTGAGGTAGAGTAAGCGGCTCTTTTTTTATCGTGGTATCCCCAATAGGCCTAATTTACATGCAATTCAATATCCTGAAATTTAGCGCATTTCCTTCGCTTCGCTGTTCTTGATGGATCAGGCGTTGCAAATTCATTGTCTGTAGTACCAATCGAAACGTCACAGATCGGAATTTCATCCACATCATCGACGATGGGATTATCAGTTTCATCGCAATCCTCTTCGTTTTCGATTTTATCATATGTTTCCTCAATAATAGTCTCTGTTTCTTCCTCTTTATCGCTATTTTGTAATAGAACTTGCGAGTTACCATAAGTATCGCTACAATTCGTGCATATAACAGAGTACTTTAACCCAGCCTTCCTGCATCCTCAAGCTTTCTGACATCCCTTTTTGTATTTGCAAGAAATACGTTTTAACAAGTTTTCTGGAGCTGAGAGCTCGAGTGTGGTGACAGGAATTAGCCCATTCTTGTTTTTTTTTTCATCTCCATTGCTCTGCATTTTGTTCATTCCCATACCACACTGTTGAACCTGGTGGGAGGTTCGGAACGAATGTTGTCGTGCGGCTGCTTCTGTTAGTGACGCAATATTAATTTTTTTTATATGCTGATGTGTAGTTGTTTAAAGACATATTTTTTTAATTTTCGAATTACTGTAGCTGTATAATTCAAGAAGGAAGCATTCTCTAGCTTTAAATCTGGAGTTTTTCGGAGCACATTCATAAATTTAATTTTTCCTTAATGAAATACTGCTGATGTTGTATCGCAGCCACTGAAGAAATGCAAGTTATATTGCAGTCTTAAAACAATGAAATCATTGTATACACAAATTGTCTATTAGATCAATGCAATCTATTGTTCTGATAAAATAAACATTTCCTGCAATATCAGCAGAACACGGTATATAAATACTCGTGTCCAAACTTACTTTTTCATTTATACAAGTGTATTGGTCCTCGAGACATCTCATTTGTGAATCACTTTTCAAATTTTGTTTAAATAAAGTTTTCCTGTTTTTAAAAACGGATTTTTATTTTAAACAAAAATAACTGGTGCTGCGAACAGGATCGGTAACGGCGTTTTTATAGTGGTTTCATCTCGAAGAAGTGTTGAAAACATCGCGAAAGTTTTGTTTCGATTTTACCTATTCGAAATACCTGTGGAAGAAATTCTATCTTGAGGAGACTTTCAGTGGAAAGGAACATCCTCAGTAACCTCTGGTGGAAAGGAAATGCATCGTGCCATCACCTTTCTTTACCTAAGCTTGTGAGTACCTTTTGATTATTCCTTTATTTTTTGCTTGTATGTCTCTTTCCGAATCTGTTTCCTACATCGAGAACGGTATTCGACGTCAAATTTTTTTTTCACCTAAAATTCAAGTCAAACTCAAACCCCCAATTTTAAATCTCTCAAACGAAATGACCCAGGCAAACCCTGCGTCTTTCGCTTTCACGTTTGCTGACTCACAATGTCAAAAATGTACGGTCCCCTAATTTTCTGGTTACGAACTTTTATAAACAAGGCAGAACATTATTAATCTTGTAAAGAATATTTAGAATATTGTAAGAAGAACTACAACTGTCATCACTGTCATGAAAAAGGGCACTTCGCAAAAGAATGTCCAAAGAAGCAAGAAGAAGAGAAACGCAAAGTAAAATCATTCATATCTGTAGCATTATCATCGTCGTTGCTTGAAAAATTGTCAGATAAATGTAAGGTCTGGATACAAGATAGTGGGTCTACACATCATCTAACGGGGAATCAACAGTGGCTGATAAATGTAAGACAGTTAGGTAATCCTTTACTAGTTGAGATTGGAGACTCAACTAAATTGCAAGGTACGACTCTTGGAGATGTGCAGTTATTGGAATATGATCGTGAAGAGTGGTATCAAACTAGAGAGATGTTCTGCTTGTTAAAAAACTTGCATTCAATTTATTTTCTGTTCCAATGGCTCTGGATAAAGGCTATAGTCAACAGGCGACAGCTGTGAAATCATTGATTATGGAAAGAGGAAGAGTTGTCCTAGTTGCCAAAAGAAGTGAAGGATTGTTCATAATGATGTTTCGAAGAAAAATAATATTGGCTTTATTGATGATTGGGAAGATTATATCTGTCCAGGCTGTGCATATGGAAAACAGCATGGAGTTTTTCACCTAATAAATCGTACAGTGTCTAAAGCATGTCTAGATAAAGTACATGTTGATCTGGGGGAGATAAATGTAAGATCGCTGGGTGGTGCAAATTATTTCTTATTTAAGGATGACTACAGTCATTATCGTATGGTCTACTTCTTAAAGCATAAGTCGAAGGCAGTTAGAAAACTTGATGTATATTTAATTTATTTTAGTTGAAAATCAACTGGGTCGAAGAGTAAAGGTATGATGTCAGATAATGGAAAAGAAATAAATAATGTAAGAAGTAGGAACATACTTGAAGAACTCGGAATTTTTCATGAAAGATCAGCAGCATATATACCTCAACAAAATAGCAGGATTGGAAGAGAGATGCGCACAATGGTTGAGGCTGCAAGGGCAGAAATTCATGCAAAGGATCTACCACCGGTTGTGGGCTGAGGCACTAAGTTACATAGTATTCACTATAAATTAGACAGGAAGTAGCTCTGTATAAGGCAAGACACCTGTAGAATTATGGTTTGGTCGTTAAGTTAGTCTGAAGTCTATGAAGGGTTTTGAATGTGAATGCTTTGTTTTAATACCAGATCACCTACGTCAAAAGCTTGACAAAAAGAGCAAGAAAGGAATCTTTCTAGGAGATATATCAGTAAAAGATGCGCTGAATGATATCAACTGGAGAAAAGCAATACAAAACGAAATCGAGGCATTAAAACAGATGGAAGTCTGGGAATTGGCAAATTTACTAGAAGGTCGAAAACATCTCTCATGCAGACGGGTCTTACGTGAGAAAAATGACGGAAGTTTGAAAGCAAGTCTGGTTGCTCGAGGGTATGAGGAATTGATCAAGAAACCTTTCCTCCTGTGATCAGGTATATTAATATATACACTTTTGATGTAAACACAGCCTTTCTAAATGGAATATTGTCTGAACGAATACACATGAGACAATCAGAGGGATTTGATGATATTCCGGCAGAGTTTGTTTCCTAAAGAAAAGTCTGTATGGATTGAAACAGGCTCCAAAAGATTGGCATGCAACATTTACAAAAATCTTAAAGAGGTTAGGTTTCAAAGATACAGATGATAATCCGTGCATATTCTACAAACGAGACAAGTCTATAAAAATTGGTATATTTGTAGATGATGGCATAGTGATTGGTCCAGATAAAGAGATTATTCAGCAAGTTTTAATTGATCTGGCAAAGAATTTTGACATGAAATCGTCAAAACCTAAAAACGGAAAAGTGCTCTATTTAGGCATGGAAATCCATCAAAAGAAAACTGGTATTTTGATCACACAAGAGAAATGCATACATAAAATGTTAAACCGATTTGGGTTTGAAGAGACAAGACCAGATATTAGCTTTGCTGTTAATTATCTCAGCAGACAAGTCAGTAAAGCATAAGTTAGTCATTGGAAGATGATAGAACGTATTTTTCGTTATATTAAAGGAACAACGAATTTTGGATTTTTTCTTGGTGAAGCAGATAAACTGAAGGCATATACTGATGCAAATTATGGTGGTACAGAACCAGACATGAAATCTACCAGTGGAATTCTAGTGACATGGTGGTCCAATAGTGTGGATGGCACAGAAACAACTGTGGTGCCTCGGCCGGCAGTGTCAGGCTCGGACTCTGCGTCCGTGGACGACGACGAAGACGAAGAAAGGAACGGTGTCCGTCTTCGACGTTTTGTTCGACGGCTATTTGCTTGAGTAAATCCGTCGGCAGAGGTAGCAGCAGCTGTATTTGATGGTACAGCTACTTGGGAGGGCGAGGAAATTGTGGCGGTGTTGGGCCCCTTGTCCTCTGACATGGGCGTGGCCTTATTGTCAGCGTGCTGACGGATATACTTTTCTAGAACGGTCATGTTCTGTGTTAGTTCGTCGAATAGGGCTATGGCGTCGACGAGGGAGAGACCCTCCAAGGGTGCAGGACCCTTGGGGAGCGCCATTTCCGAAATGGCAAGCGTCTGAAGGGAAAAAACGCTTTCGGTGGGCGTGGCTTCGGTTGTACGGAAAAACGACGGTTTTGTGTTAGTAACAGGTTAAGGGAACGACGAAGTACAAGGGG